ACCTTAGAACTAACTAGCCAAACTAGAAATAGGGAGGGGATAAAATAGGGAAAAAAACCTGTTTCAGTTTAGACTTTATTCAGAAAGACCTAATTCTAGGAACTACAGGCAATTCTCTTTTCTCTGGCAAAGGGAGAAAAAGGCCAAGAGGGCACAGGGCAGAAGGTAAAAACCATGGCACCTACTATGAACTCCATCTCAGGATGTCCTTCTCCTTCTGAGAAAGTAGCTGCCAGTTCCTCCTTTGTTTTCCATGTATACAATGCCCACTGGTACCCATGCATCTAGTGGAACTCACTCTGTGGCCACATCTGCAGTTATGTTTATTTCCATCCCTGGCATGATTTCCTCACTTCAGGAAGGCTTGCAGGTTATCCATTCCTCCAGTGGCAGCTGTTTCAAGGTGGAAACATTTTCCATTCACAAGCCCACTGGGAAAGGGCCTTATCTACTTTCCTGAAACATGGGAAATAGAGCTCAAAAGAGACACAAATATTAGTGGTTTAACTACTGTAAACTTTGGATGACCTTTGTTTATTAAGTGCTCTACAATCTTTAGAAACCCAGACCTGGATAGTCCATGCTAGCCTGATCTTATCTGATCTCAGAATCTAAGCAGGGCTGGTCCTGGTTTGTATTTGGATGGGAGACCACCAAGGAATACCAGGGTCTCTATGCAAAGCCAGGCAATGGCAAACCAAGTCTGAATGTCTCTTGCCTTGAAAACCCTACAGGGTCATATGTCAGCTGTAACTTGATGGGGGAAAAAATTGTTAGAAAGCAAGTGAAATAAAGAGCAAATAAATGAAAGAAAGAAAGCTAACTCAGTTGCCCTTGTGCAACATAGCATATGCAACATAGCATATGTAGTAGGAAGGGGGTCATGGAGATTAGTAATTGGAGTTGAGAACGTAAAGATGAGTTTTTACTTCATGTTAAGACATGATTGCTAAATTCCGCCATTAAAGGGCAAGTTTTTACTGCTGGGCTGTGAAAATGTGTTATAAGAAGAGTCCAAATGTAGCTAAAGCCATATATATTAGGCACTGCCATTTTCAACATAAACCTGCCTGTAGGAAAGTACCAGTGTCCATCTGCTCTTCTGAAATCCCTGTGATTTCTTAATGTCTGAGGCATTAAGAAACAAACCTTCTAACTGGTATGTGGGAGGAACACAGACTGAACTTATATGATCACCAAAACAAAACAGAACCACCAGTTCTGGATAACCTGACAGAAAACCGCAAGTATAATTCTATGAAGTAAAACAAACTAGACGGATTAAGATGCCCTTGTCCTCCTTGGTATATCCTCAATTTGTAAAACTTGAAGATATCTGACGAGTGAGTTTTGTCTTCATGAATTTGAGAACAAAACCAGCCTCCCAAACTGCTGTTTTCCCATTACCTAGGGAAACATTGAATGTAAAAGTTGCTAGTGATAAAAGTAACTAGGATTTTTAGGAACAGTGCTTCTCAGCCATTGAACTATTTTTTAATTTAAAGATTATTTGGTTCATATAGGATGTATGTTTTTTCTTGCTCAAGAGCTCACTAGTTGATCAGGAATACTTTTGCTAATCATTGTTCTCTGAGTTTCTGCAAGCTCACATAAGTAATTTTAATTTAAAATTAATTTAAATTTAAAATTACTTATCAAAATTATGTAGTTTGAAAACTGACATGTACTGTAATACCTTGGCATATATACATAAAATGGCTAATGCCTCATTCTATGAGAAGGAAAATGAGCTATATTAATCTATCTTTTCTGAAGGCGTTCTGTCTTCCTTTCATAAGACAGGAACCCTTTGGTTGTCAGTCAGGCAGCCAGAAGATCCTAGAATGTAAGAATTTCCTCACAAGGCCACAAATCTAGTGGCTCCAATCCAGAGAAAGTGAGTGGCACTTAAATCCAATGGGAATCAAGTTATTTCACATTGATCTTTAACACACCTAATCTTTTTAGGGTTGAGAACAGTGATTTTTTTGAAAGCAGAATAGTGATTTGGAACTGTGCCACCCACATTTGGATCTGGCACTATATCAACTGCAGTAAAAAGGTAAAGGTAAAGGTTCCCTTGCTCAAAAGCCAGTCGAATCCAACTCTAGGGTTGCGGTGCTCATCTCCATTTCAAAGCCGAAGAGCCAGTGCTGTCCAAAGACATTTCTGTGGTCATGTGGCCGGCGTGACTAAACACCAAGGCGCACGGAACTTGACCACTTGAACCACCGCAGCTCCTATCAACTGCAGTACATATGTATATAGTTCAGCTGTGGCCAGTTGCTGTACTTTTCCCCTTGTGAAAAAACAGCCATCCTATTGCTATGCTGATCTACGCTGTGGAAGGAACGAACATACTCAAAAACAAAGACCTATATGTGCATTCTCACTCTGTCTATACCTGAAATTCTTGTACACCTAGATTTTTTTTTAAGTGTGCTTAGGCATCTCAGATGCTGGGGATACAGTTGCCCAGCAACATTCCTATACACTGTGTACAAATAAGGGCATTTTTGAAGAGGAAGTAAGAGCAGGTTTATTCAAATCTGTAGTAAAGATGACACTGTAGCAACAATAATATGTTGGTTGATTTACATTCAGAGATTACTGATGGTTTGTTTTGAAGGTGCCCTTCGAGCGGGAGGCACTTCTGCTTGCACAAGGGAAGCTTTTTGTGGATTTTCCACTTGAACTGTTGCTCCATGTGCTACAAACCGCACTATTCCTAAGGGTCTCCTGACCTTTAGGAGCAGCTTTTGGGCGGCACAGGGTGTGTGTGCATAAAACTAGAGGGGATGGGAAGTGTCTGTTCCACCAGCAGACTTCTCCATGCAGTTCTTTGAACCCATCCCTGAAACAGTGTATCAGATAGTGGACCAGGAACTGCATGATGTCAGCTGAGCATCTGGCACAAAATACCTCCCATGGGAGTAACTGATGCCTGTGCCTTAATGCTGTGAAAGGGTGTGTGTGTGTGGGGGGGATTACTCCTTCACAGCATTAAGACACATGTATTCCAAAAAGTATATGTTATATCCAATCACATTACTGTTACCTCCAGCTGCCATCACTACTATGGATCTGAACCAGTAAGTAAACTGCACTAATGAAACATATCTTGTCTCTGTGTGTTTACTCCCCCCCCACACCACAATGGATCACTTGTTCTTTGCAGACAGGACAATTTACCTCTGGTAGAGAAGGTGTTATGGAAATAGGCAGGTGTGAGAAATGGAGGAAGCAGTTTTCTGGGCACTTGTTAAAATGCCCTAACTTTTGTAGGATGTACCCAGAGATCTTGATATCAAACTGCTCTATTTGAATAGGTAGTGAAAGGTAAAGACGAGAAGACACCCCCCCCCCACACACACACAATCTTGTTTTCTCTGACTACATGAAAGACCAGCAGAAAAGCAGGACCAGGTGCTTGGGAGCTGTAATAAATATAATACGCATATCCTGCCCCTTGTTATGCTTGAGCCACTTCATTCATCTTACAAGTTTCACAGCATTCTAAAAATCAAACTTCAAGAGAACAGCTGCCCTATGGCAGTCTTGCGTGCACAGCACATAAAAACAAAACATTAAATATATATTTTTAAAAGGACCAAATAAAATGAAATAACTTATATAACATTAAGGTGAACAAAGAAACAAACCCTAAGACGCACATAACAGTAGCTAACACAACTTCTTTTCTCTTGCTTCTGTTAGCAATGGAATGGCCTAATTTCTCGGCAAGACACATTTCATCCCTAGGATAAGATATTCTGTCTTCATAGGTTTTCCCCATAAGAGGCAATGAACGCAGCATGCTGGTTTCTTCTGTAAAGTTTCAGAAGATGACAAAATTCATTTTGAAAAATAAGGTAAAATAAAGTGCTAAAAATAATCACCACCCTACATCACAGCGTGGAGTGCTCTGAAAGCCCACCAGCTGCAAAGGACTTAAGTCTGTGTCGGGTCGACTGACAAGCAATAACTTTGCCATCAATGCCACCAGGAAGTGGTTGACCCATTTCGCCAGCCACTTGTGCTCGACAGAAGCCAGAATGGACAATGAAAGACATCACAATATGCCTGTTTGCTTTGACACTGGGAAATACTGTAGATTTTGCTTTCTGAATGTTCTCCAATGATAGCTTCTTTCTCAGCTTCCAGCTGGAGACTGGATGATTTTGTCATTAATGACAGCCTGGCATTATGAACTCTAATTTCAAAACTGAACAGGCAAAGAAGAATCTCAATTAGATTATGGTAGGAGTGTTTGTAACACAGTATACCATCTTTAGCCCTGTTCACGCATTCATCTGTGTAGATGTGAATATGAAGAATGGGTTTGTACCCTCTGCCCACACTTCTAACCTCCACACATTTGGGGGTCCCATTTTCTCAGAATCTTCTTGCATGTAGACTGAATACATATAGAATCCATACCCTGTATTTGTCCAAGATACAGACTGCAGGAACAGAAGCTTATGCGTAATTCAGTGTATATGTGTAGGCTCTGAACAAATAGACTCTTGAACATGTGGTGGTTGGGGATGGCCCAGTACATGCAACTCTGATCTCTCTCTTGTGTTAATTTCTATATATACATGTGGAAAGGGCTTTTTTGAGAAGCGGAACAAGTGCTAATACAGCAATTCTTTTTCACTTCACTTGAACCCACTTTTAGCAGGCCACTGATTTTTGTGATGTTGTATGTTTCATTGCTTTCTCCTCTTTGGAGACAAACTTCCCTGCAGCTGAGGATGGCTAGTTGCTCCAGTGGACTAGCTGTGCCAATACACCTTTGACACGTATGCTGGTATAACTGACCTCTAAACCCAAAAAATGTTTACAGAATATGGTCATACAGAGCACCTAAATGATTCCAAAAATAGCATTTTGGAGAAAAAGAGAAGGGGTATGACGGGAACAATACCTGAATCGTTTATATATAAATATAAGAAGAAATACAGCAAGTGAAAAATTGGCACATTTTTGAGTAGCCGCTAACTTGGGATCTTGGTGCTAATGTAAAAAACAAAAACAAACCCCCTGAAAGCAAAGGGTAATTTTTCTTCATCGTGCAATTCTGCTAGTTCTAGCAGTTTACATGTCAATTATGCCACAAAATTAGTAATGTAGATCAGCCTCTCAAATTAATTTAAGGTGGTTTTTTAAAACCAGGCATTCTTTGGGACCACTACAACCTCGTTGAGGTCAGTCTCTTCATCCCCCTCCGCTGGGCTAGATTGGAGGACAATACAGGTTCCAGTCTTGGTGCCTGAGGAGTTCGGTTTAAAGCAAAGTAGGTGGCTGCCATTGCGCCCTGTAGAATAAAAATACATATGACATTTAAAAACCAGTCCTTCACACATCCTCATTCCCTAGTTCTCAACAGGTGATTGAAAAGGGAGCATCTACAACAAGACAAATAATGGGATGGAAAGGGGTTTTTTTACTATCGCTTCAAAACACTGTCCTAGGTTGTGTGGGACACCAAAGTAATTTGCTATGTGCATGTCTGCATATGGGAACTATGTGGTTAATGTGTATATGTTGATTTGTGAGTGAGTTGTCGGTTCATAAACGTGTGCAAGCACATAAAGGAGAAAGTAATCAGTGACTCCTTTGCATTAGATCCCGTAAGTCCCAAGGCTGCTTTAGCTGATCCCTCCCAACAATATCTCAGATACAGAGATCCTATCAACTCAGCATACCAGAAGAGAAAATTGTTAAACTGATGCATGAAATAGCTTCTACACTAATTGAATTCTGTTGGAGTCACCGAAGGTGATCACTGACCTTTTCTAAGTGCAGACATACAAAACTGTTGATTTCTACTTACTTTTACAAGATGAACATCCTGTCTGCTGAGCTGATTTTGTGACAGATATTCCCTGTTAACTATCCATGGGTGCCTTATAACTTGGGCTGCTGTTAAGCGCTGATGGGGGTCTACATGAAGCATCTTGGATACAATATCCTGTTAAAAAGGGATTGCAGAAAGCAAGGGAAAATTTGATTCAGTTTGACTGTGATTTCAGATCAAAAGTATCGTGTGTGAAAATACAGAATGCTAAAGTGGAAAATGCTGTTAAGATACCATCATCTGAAAACCAGTCTTACACCCCTTTAATGTGTCACCAGTGTGATGAAGCTTCCCTCACAAAAAACGCAAAACTCCTAAACACAAAAATTCCATAACTGGGTGTTCCCCTAGAAATTAAAGAATGGTGTTGAATTTTAGGCAAACATTGCAGCAGGGAATCAATTTCTATGCTGCATGCAAAGGAACTGTCCTACCATGCAAGTAAATTTCCCCTAACCAGGTTAGGGTATCCCACCCATACCAAGTAGATAGAAATTTTTCACTTTACTGGAGCACAGCTGGGGAAACCACAGGTCAGCTACAATCACAGCCAGTGTTCCCTCTAAACTGAGTTAGTGTGAGCTAGCTCACAGGTTTTTAGTCTCTGGCTCACACATTTTTTGTCTTAGCCCAGGAAGGAGGGTTCTAGAGCAAACTGATCTATGCAGTAGCCAAAGTACTTGCTCACAACTTTAATGCCGGTTGCTCACAGAGTAGAATTTTTGCTCACAGGACTCCACAGCTTAGACGGAACATTGATCACAGCACTCAAGCACTTAGGCTTTGGGATCTAATAGGAGATACAGGAGAATTGTGAATATGATCTTTTGTGCAGAATTTTAGGCTTAACCATGTACAGCTATCGGTGTCACTGCAGTGCTGAGAGCATCACATCTGTGACCTGACTGAGGTGGCGTGCTGGGAGGCAAGCCAACATGCCATCATCAGGGCATGAGCCAGCTGAACCTCAAACAGAGGCCTGGTCAGCCAGGAGCAGAATAAGCTCAGAGAAGGTGGGAGGACTGGGGCATGAAGTGATGCCTCCTCATTGCCCAAGAGATGGGGTAGCTCCTCAGCCCCATCCTTATTGGTCCAGGCAGGGCTGCCCCCAGCTTATTTTGCACCCTAGGTGAGGATCCCTTCTGGCGCCCCCCCTGTGCCACGGTGCCCCCCCATGCACCCACCTGGTCAGAGCCAGCAGGGGGGCTTTTGGCGGGGTGGGCGGGTGCAGTTTGGCGCCCTTCATCAGGGCGCCTGGAGAAGAGGCTGTCTGGTGGGGTGCTCACAAGCCGTCGCTCCCCTGGCCCTGCTGCTGCTCCTGCTGCAGCTGCCAGTCCCCAGCCGTGAGGAAGAGGAGGAGGAGAAGGGCTCCGCTGGGAAGCCAAGGGGGCAGGCAGGGAGAAGTTAGCTGGCCAAAGAGGTGGCAGCGGTGGGGGTCACAAGGCCGCAGAAATGCAGGGCTTTTGGCGGGGGGCGGGTGCAGTTTGGCGCCCCTAAGGGCCGACATGCTCTAGGCAAATGCCTAGTTCGCCTAGTGAGCGAGCCGGCCCTGGGTCCAGGGTCTCCTATAGGAGTGGAGAAATGAGGAAGATGAGAAGCAAGTGAATGAAATCTCCTAAGACACAACCCAGGAAAATTGATTGGTAACAAGTATAACCCAGCTACTACATCTGGGGGAAGGAAAAACCCAGATACGACATTTATTTTGATGTTAAAAGGCAGGCATGAGACAGGAGATTTGGACCCTGGAAATAGGAGATTTCCCCACCAAGCTATTAGCCCCAATAAAGCAAAAGACAGGTCCAACACAGATGCCATCCTTTTCCGCCCTATTATAATTAATGGCAGGTTAGAGCAGAACGTATAACTAATTTCTATTGTAGAAACAGCATGAAAAGAAAGGGTTGACCTTCTTTTTCACCTAAGCCATGCCCCTGATTTAAATTATCCCCATTCCACACACAGCTTTTTAGCATTTATGTGATTGGCAGGCAATCCAGTCATGCATTTCCCACACAAACATGTAGGCTGTCCCTTACAGAGGTATTCATGGCTGAAAAAGTCTGGAAGGATAGCACTGGAAGCTGAGGTGTCCGCTCACCTTGGCAGCATCAGATACTGAATCCCAGTTTCCTCCTGTCAGTGCATATTTTCCACTGCCAATTCTGGCCAGAATCTCCTCTGGGGTATCATCTGGACCATTTGCAAAAGGAGTGAATCTGTCAGTCAAATGAGTGGTATGTTAAATAGTTTATTTGTACCACACAAGTTTAACAGATATGTTTGTTTCGTGTACTCTGACATAAGAAAATAAGCATGAAAGAAAAAAATAATGGCACGGCTGATGAAAATAACAGTAGGAACTGGGGGATGATACCCTTCTTTTTAATCAACACAGCTGCATGATAGTCTTTAAAAGTGCACCAGTCACTTTGAAATTCTCTCTAAGGAAAACAGAGTTTGATCCCACAAGTGTCTGTTTTTATGTGCCTTCCTTGTAGCTGAAGAATGCTTTGCTTGAAAAATATAGTTTTATTGTTTTTCTTTAAACAGTAACATCTTGTTGGTTGGAGTAAAGGCAACTCAGCATGCCTGGACACTGGGGGCCACTATAGTTCCCCATGCACTAGAACCAGACTGAGTACATGTGATGCCTCTCTTTGTCTACACTAGAAGCTTCTCTGTGACTCCTCTTTCTTTGCCTTTGTTCTCTTGCCTCCTGCTGTGGCAGAAAGGAAGATACTTCTGCAGATCCCTCCTGTGCAAGGAAGCCAAAGACACACTCATGGTCTCACACTTGCAAACACATGCTGCTGGATTAGCTAGCCACTTGTAATAGGGAACAGTATTATTTAGATTAGGCTTCTGTTTCTTCTGCTACAAAAATGCATATGAATATAAATAAAGTTTGGTAAAAGTAAGTTTATTTGTTGAAGAGTGTTTAACTACATATGATTCCACACTTTCCTAACTGTGCAACTTAGCTACATTAATACATATTCCTAATATTGTCCACCTTGTAGAATTCACCAGAAATGGAAAGGAAGTGTCTACCCTAATAACAGAAGGAAAACAGGACAATTATTCCCCCCCCCAAAAAAAAAGAACCGTTTAAAACACCTACCAGATACTGACTTGGATCCTACCTAGATTTCCACTAGCACAAGAATGGGGGGGGGGTGACTATTGCCAATTCTCCCCTTCTTTGGCAGTCCAAAACATCCCCTGAAATGCTCCTTCTGATGGACCACCAGGAATAACTGGGGTGTGTGTGTGTCAGAGGTCTTTCACAGAATGAGGGGGATCAGTGAAGATTGCACCCCCTGGAATTTCCCAACCTGGGGCTGGCAACCCTATCTCCTTCCTACCCAACAGCTAACCTACCTTTAACTGCCCCTCTGTCTTCAGCTTTCCATTGCCTCCCTCTCTGCAGCCACTACCTAAGAGAACTATGGTCGTTCTCTACAGTGGGGACCAAAGCAGCTTACATTATTCTCCAGTTTGGTGTAGGGGTTAAGTGCGGGAACTCTAATCTGGGAGAACAGAGTTTGATTCCCCACTCCTCCACCTGCACCTGGCTGGATGACCTTGGGCAAGCCGTAGTTCTGATGAGAGCTGTTCTTGAAAGAGCAGTTCTTGAAAGAGCTCTCTCAGCCCCACCTACCTCACAGGGTGTCTGTTGTGGGGTGGGAAAGGGAAAGGAGATTGTAAGCCACTCTGAGACTCCAAGTGAAGGGCGGGGTATAAATCCAATCTCTTCTCCTCTCCTCCTTTTTATCTACATGACAGCCCTGTGAGGTAGGTCAGATTGAAAGTATGTCACCAGTCCAAAATCACCCAGTAAGCTTCCACAGCCTTCCATATCCTACTCTGAACTGCTACACTGCACTGGCTGTCATAGGGTGGCTGCTGTTGAGTCATGTGAGTCAGGTGGTATCAAGTCACCTTCTGGTTGCTGCCAGGCCTAAGGTTGCCAACCTCAAGGTGGAACCTGGAGTTCTCCCAGAATTACGACTGAGCTCCAGATGACAAAGATCTGTCTCCTGGAAGAAAATAACTCCTATGGAGGGTGGACTCTGTGTATAATATCTGACTGAAGCCTCTCCCCTCCTCAAACCCTGCCCTCCCTCAGGTTCCATCACAAAATCTCCAGGACTTTCTCAACTCTAGTTAGGCCTAGCCCCAATGAGTCCTCCCTTGAAGGTCAAAATAGGCCTGGAAAGGGCTCTGCCTTTTGCTGACATACCAAGCCTGAAATACTGTGGTTGCCTAGTAACAGCCACTGAGGGAATCTGTTACTTAAAGCTACAGACACTCCTTTTATTATTTTTGGGGTTTTTAAACTCCCCAGTAGTTGTTTGGGGTTTTTAGATTTCACATTTTGCTGCAAACCTGGGCCCCTTTTGAGGTTTGTAGAAAGTTCCCTTCACAGCTCCATTCACCAGATTTAAGTAACCAAAGATCTGGTTAACTTTGCAATTAGAATATAAGATAGGAAAATGCCACTAAGCATAGTGCTTGACATCAAAATGAAAACTAGGAAGTACACAATACACAATACACAAAGAGCATAAACAGTAGCCATAGTTGACCCTCATAGGAGAATGTTCCCTGTATAAAGTCTGGTAAAAGCAAATGTCTGAGGGCCAAAGTAGATGTGGCAGCGTGATCTGTGTGTATTTATTCACCTGTTATTTTTCCTTATAGGGTTAATAGCCACCACAGGGTCAATTTCTATCTAGAAAACCATGTGTATATGTGTGTAAAACAGCCTCTGCCCCCCCACCCCCGTAGTGCTGCTGGCTCTGAGGAAATACCTGGAGATTTTGGGGGTGGAGCCTGGGGAGGGTGGGGTTTAGGGAGAGGAAGGACCTCAGCAGGGTACAATGCCATAGAGTCCTCCCTACAAAGCACCCTACAGTTCCAGGGGAACTGATCTCTGTTGTATGATGATCAGTTTTAATAGCAGATCTCCAGGCCCCCTCCCAAGATTAGCAACCCTACTGCCTGTCAGCTCCACAGCCCTGAGCCAACCCCTGTAGAAAATTTAAGACAGCGGGAGATCTGATCACAGATTTCTTGTACATTGTCTAGTTGACTCCCTAATTCAACTGTGTTGCACATCTGGCTGTTCACTTTTTTGGAAATGAGAGTAATGTGAAAGGCTGCATGCCTTAGCTTTGTTTTCCCTAATCATGTTATGCCTGAAAGTCATACGAGGTTTACTCAGCAATGAGTAAAACTGTTCAGAAGTAATGGGACAGATGGGGAAAGTGCTGGCAACTGAGACAGGAGATGTAAGGAACAGCAAGAGATCAACTCTATAGATACCTGTTTTTGTGTATGGTTGCGAAAACTGCTCAAGTTGGAATTACAAGGACACCAAAACTAAAAACATTTAGTTCAATAATTCTTTTGTCAAGATCCCCCCCCCCCCTTTCATCCAATGCAATCCCAGATTGCAATCTGAAGTGGAAGTCTGGTGCAGTGAAAGGCGTAAGAAGAAAGAAGAGATTCTTAATCCTTTCCTCAGCACCATTGTATGCTGAAAATCACTCAATCGATTTGCTTTTACCCTCACACAAGGTATCCAGTGGGCAAAAAAGCAGATTAGGGTTGGCTGATTTTCAGTGGGGAAATGATGCAAGAAGAAATTGTTCTTCTACTTTGAAATGCATTGTGTAAAATAAGTCTCCCCCCCCCCAATAAGGAGGGCTTCAGGTTGAGGGCTTTCCCATCCCCTTCAGCCCGGTCCTTAACTGGAGATGCTGGGGATTGAAACTGGGACCTTCTGCACGCCAAGCAGATGATCTTCCACTGAGCCACAGCCTCTTAGACATTTGCTTATACCAAACAAATACAGGGAACATTCTCCTATGAGTGCCAACAACTTAGCATCTACCATGATAATGCAAATTCTGACAATGTGTAAATCATCTAGGTCTGCAAGTTCTAATCATTAGATCGATCAATCAGAGTTTCAACTGCTCAGTCAGTGGCTGTCCATTCTAGTGGTTGTTGTCAACTAATCTGAGAAAATTATAGTCAAACCAAATGATATGCCAGAAGATCCAGGACAATGTTATTGTTACATAGCATCCTTAGGGGGGGGGGGGCTATAAGGAATAGTTGCTATTCGAGCCTCGATGTTGTTTTGGCACGGTTTTAAACACACCCAGCTGCAGGCTTTGCCCTTCAAGAGAATAATCTTTGGGAGCCTCCCCAATCCTTTTAAAATTACTAATGTTAAATAGCTGGGGGAACCTTGACTGGTTGACAGGTTCACCGCTTGAGGAAAGGGATATGATAAATGGGTGGCAGCTTGTAATGACAAGGGAGGTCATTGAATGAACATGGCCTGTGAAGCACTGGACTGTGACATAACCCAGGAACTGCTGACAACCGTGGAAGCAAGCAGTTGTTCCTCTTCTTTTTTTAGTAAGCCAGGCTTTAGTTATCCTTAGCCAACTACTGTTGTTTTTGTTACTTGCTTGGTTTCTGCTCAGCATACATTCTGCTAAACCTGAAAGATTTCTTTTACCACAAATTAAAGGGTTTTTTTTTAAAAAAAAAAACTGCGCTCAGTGTTATGTGTTGAGTGCTTGCATTTACTTCTCAGAAATGAACCCAGGGGCCTGTTCGGTCCCAACAGGGGCCCAATCCAGTTTGAGACCCTTCCCTCCCATGCCATTTTCCTGACTTTTCTTCCCCAGAGCCATTATTTGCCCTGTTAAAAGTAACAAGCAGGCAACTGGTTTACCTCCAAAAAATTGCAGCTCCCAGAATAGACTTGTAACAACTACATAATATGCTTTGGAGTCTATGAAATAAAATATGCAGTGTTTGTCACCAATGGCAAAACCTCTGTTTAAATAAATTCAGATGTTTTTCTGTGCTGTGTCTCTGTCATTAATACTTTTCGGCCTCTCTTCCTGGACAGATGAAGAGAAACTCCTGCACTTACCCTGCTAACATAGTGTACAACAGAATCCCTAAGCTCCAAATATCACAGGCTGCATCATAGCCTTGCCGTTTTAGGACCTGCAAGAACATAAACATTGAAGAATAAAATAGATGCTGTATTCTATTACTTTTAGAATGGCTAAATCAAAAAGGAAGTTTACAACACTGCTTGTTTCACATTTGCTTGAGATTACCAGATTGGTTGATGGCTTGGATAGAAAAATATACAGTACCTGTGCAAAGTAACCTAACAGTGAGGGCATGAATAATTTTTGACAGGTATTATTTTTCTCATTTTATATGCTTGACTCATTTGGCAGAATATACATTGAAGGAGGAAGGAATAATACCACGCATGGCTGGCTGGTTATCTACACACCAGACCTGCTGACAAAGCAATGGTCCCCTACAGTCCTACTAAATATTACTCATGGAACAAAAATTAGAGCAGAAAAAGGAGCAGAGAGGGGCAACCAAAATGAGCAGTGATACCTTCTCTATGATGAAAGGCTAAAGAGTCTGGGACTTTTCAGTATAGAGAAAAGACAGTGAAGAGTAGACATACTAGATGTTTATAAAATTAAGCATAATGTAGAGCAAGTCAATGTATAAAGTTGCCTTATACTGAATCGGACCATTACTCTGTCAAGGTCAATATTGTCTACACAGACTGACAGTGGCTCTCCAGGGCCTCAGGCAGATGTTTTTCCCATCCCCTACTGCCTGGTCCTTAACTGGAAGTGCTGATGATTGAACTTGGGGCCTTCTGAGCCACAACCCCTCTAAGTGGCTAGAAAGAACTTTATCTCTCAAAATATCAACATCCAATGAAATTGATAGGCAGTTGGTCTAGGAGTGGAAAAATAAAGTATCTTTCATACAAAAAAACTTGTGTGAAAAATAAACTTGCTGCCATGAGATGTGGTGAAGGCTGCTTGTTTGAAGCAGCAACTTTAAAGCTTAAAGGGAGTTGCATTGATCATTAAAATGTCTTAAAACATTTGGACAATGAATGAACATGCCTGTGTGTGACCTCAGGATTATTGCCTAAAAAGACCCTTTGAGATTGTAAATGAAACCCAGCATGTAACTGCATGTTTTGATGATTGCACAGGGCATAATACCTTCTGTTTGCTGAGTCAAAGATTATTTTGACCCATCTGAAAATATGGGGAGTACTCTTTGGCACCAGAACTGTGACTTCTTGCCCGATATTCTGTAACAGCACAAATAAAAGTCACCTAAACTCAGGTGAAAACTGGAAAAATAAAGGCCTTTATATCATTAAACTGTCTCTGGCACACAACCAACTGTGCCTTTATAACATGTGGTTTGTTTTCCTGCTGTATACTAGGCACAGAGAATACTGCTCCCACTAGATGGCATGCAAATCCCCCTTTTACAGATATCGTTAACTATCCACAATATGTGTCATGCTGCAGTTACTATATTGCCACCTAATATAAAGAGTTAACGGACTCCAAATAAAAAGAGATTTATGTAAGCAAACATGGAATCTCACATCTGTCAACCCCACTGTGTATCACACACGGGGCAGCCTTTCTAACATTATCTTTAATTGGATAAGTATATCAGTGGCAATGGAATGAAGAGGAGCTTGGGCTGAGATAGAAGTCAGAGTTGTTTGAGGTGTTTTTGCTCCTTCCAGTGTGAGAAAGAGTAAAACATAAATAAATTCATATTTTGGTAAACCATCTTTCTCTGTGCGTCATGAAACACGGTTCCTGCCACGTACCTCAGGTGCTACAAAATTGGCTGTATAACATGGAGTCATTAGCAGACCATTCTCAGCTCTCAGTTGTTTGGCAAATCCAAAATCACAGATCCTGATTGAATCTGGATTTCCCGACTCATCCATATAAAGGATATTACTAGGCTTCAGATCTCGGTGGACAACCTGAAAATGAAGTGAATTGTTACATTAAAAAAAAAATGTTGCTCTAATAGTCAGTATCAAACTCAATTTGACAACTGAAAAGTTTAAAGATATACTAATAACTGGCAGAAATTATGGCAGCAAGTGTAATTGTTATTTTGTTTCTTCTCTTGGACATTTGGAGCCATGAACTTCTAGACATTTGCCAAGCAATAATGAAAATGAGGATGCATTTTAGCTATGAGTCAAAAGAACTGGGCAATTCTTGATAGTTACCACTGGCCTTCCAAAATATCAAGAATATCCAGTGAATAACAATAGTAATAAGCTTCTACTTTTTAAAAACATTGTTATATAGATAACCAGTGGCGAACCTACATTTTTGGGACTCTGAAGCTTGAACTGTTATGGGGGCCTCATCTCAACCAGCAAACAATCACAGGGATATTTTGAGGCCATATGAAACGGGTATTAGAGCATATTCTAAACTCAATATTAAGTACTTCAACTCATTGGCTTATGATTCTGTCACTAAAATAGCCTTATTTTAATAACAAACACTTAAAGAAACGCCATCAATTTTGTTGAAAAATTCACTAATTAAAAAAAAGGTTGCTTCATTAGTTTTGTAGTAGATCTGCCCCTGTAGATAAGTAATATCACTTGTTGCTGGAGAGGTGGACACAAGCACAAGACCAAGGCCCACTTCAGTGGTGCTCAGAGCTGTGTGGCTGCCATGGTTGTTCCCCTACCACTTCCAGTAAGGTCTGCAACTTCTGTGCTTTCATTTAAAGGTTGATTCATGCTAGTGACATTGCTAGCATCATACACAGCCCATGTTAACCAAACTTTTATGTTACACATTTTATCCAGAGCAGCAGTATGAGTTGCAATGGCAGCAAACACATGACCACAGGTAACATACAAAGTGGATAGGCAGATGCAACTTCCCCAACCCTTCGAATCCTTGACATGACTATGCTTGTATCTGCTGATATATTGGAGATCTAAAATTACCAAATATATATCAGCCCTAAGATTTGGAAAGTGAATTTCCCGACAGACAGGAACACGTTTAAGCAAGCTCTCTTAATAAATAAATGCCTTGTGTTAGTTGCTTACAGTTCAATCCCAAGCAGAGTTATGCCCTTCTAAGCACATTTGCTTCAGTGGACTTAGGTATAACTTCAGTGGAAGAGTAAGACTCTGCTTGGGATTACAGTGTTAATTAATCAACTCTTCAATCTGGAGGATACCATGTAAGAGTGACATCTGTGCATTTGAAAATAACAGGAAGCAATTCCATTTCATCCTCTTGACATTTGTTTTTCAGTAGTATGTTTATCAACTTTCAAGTTTATCTGCGTTTTAGAATCCATTTTGGGTAACACTCCTTATCATTCAGCATTTCTAAATCAAATCAAGATTGCATTTTAAGAAAGTTTGCTGGATACACGGGAAATGGTACTCACTCCTTGGGAATGCAAATAATCCACTGTCTTGGTGATGGTAAAAAGGACATCACTGGCCTCTTGTTCAGAAAAGCATTTTTGTCGAAGTATCCGGTCTAAGAGTTCTCCCCCTCGCATCAGCTCCATCACAAGGTATATATATTTCCCATCATCATAGACCTACAAGTGCAGAAAAGACATCAGACTTCTATTCATGAGGCCCTCTGTTATTATTCATAGGGCACTCTGGTATTATCTTGATGTGGTTACAAGAACAAAAAGGGACTACAACTTGAAAAATAACAGCAGCACAGGGTCCTCTTGAGCAAACACTGAGGTTTTTGTTATTTTTTGAAAGTCTTCGTTTTTGGCATACATCTAAATTCATGTCATCAATGTTATTTTGTGCATGTGTATTTTTGCACAGCTGTATGAGAGCTGAGTCACAGTTCCCCTCACAGCATCATTTAATCACATAACCCAGCCATCAATGTCCCTGGGGGGACAATCAATTTCACCTACTGAGTAGATGCAAAAGTAGCAGCATGGCAGAAGGAAATGAAACTCCACCAACATAGCTACTGAGCAGCTGTGGAGCTGATAGGCGGCTGCTTGATTTGGATGGCAGCAAGGCAAGATCTGAAGCTTGGTTCACAAGTGAGTGCAGCTGTCAAAACTGTATGCTTTCCTGTTGAACATGTTTGGTGCCAAGTCTGCAGCATCCTTAGTTAGCTTACATTGCAAAGAACCTTCTCTCTTGTTCTGCCAACCTCAAACCTCAGAGGTTTATGAGCTCTGTTTCACCTTCCCATGGCTGCAAGCTTGAAGGTGTGCCAAAGACCAGCCTGCATTACTCCATGCTCCACACGGAGGAGGAGAAGGCAGCTGCAGGTGAGGCCAGCAGGTGGTCCGCCAGGCTTCCCCCTGCCTGCCCGCCCGCCCGACAGCAGCAACGGCCACGGCTCCCAGCCACCAGCCCGCCAAGGCTTCCCCCCCACCGCCGCCACTGACAGCAGCAACAGCGGTGAACCTGCCCGCCAGGCTTCTCCCCCCCCCCAAGCAGCAATGGTGGTGAGCCCTACGTGGCTCCTCACTGCTGGGCCCACCAGGCTTCTCCCCCTCTGTCGCAGCAACGGCCGTGGCTCCCAGCCGCTGGCCACCCAGGCTTTGCCACTGCTGCTAGCAGCAATGGCAGCAAGCCCTTGCATGGATCTGCCACAGTTCGCAGTGGCAACTGCGCATGTGCATGGGACTCTTTTACTTTTTTTGGGGGTGTGTGTTTAAATATCCCCCATATAGTTTTTTAAACTTTTCAGATTTTTCTGCACACGTAGGGATTACCCCAAGTGTGCAGGAAAATCTCTTTGCCCCCTAGGTGCCCCCGATGTGCGGATTTAGATATCTGCACACAGGGGGCGTCTTGACTATTAGTATATAGATGATATACTAAAGACCACTTACATCTTTGAGAGTGATGATGTTTGGGTGCTGTCCATATCTCAGCAGAATCTCAATTTCTTCAGAGGGGTCCCTTTTGCTCTTATCAATTATCTGGGGAAAAAATGATGAGTGCAGCAATAAGCTATAAGCTGACAGCACGGAAGTGGAGGGACAGCTGACACCCATTAGCCTTTCACAAGTGTGCATAAAATATATAGGGCAGCAGTTCAGTAGCAGAAATGAGTAAAGGAAAAGGGTAAGGAGCAGCAATAAGGGGAGGGGGAACCCTTCTCTCTGGCTACCACCAATGTTTATTTGAAATATTTATATCTGACACAGAGCTTTCTGAGGAAGCTAAAGAAATGCCAGTTGTATAGAGGAAACATAAGGAAGAGAACTTTTTATATTGCCACTGCTTAAACTAATTTATTGTATACAATGTGCTTTAGATTGCAGTCTTTGGGATGGTAACAAGTTACAAAATGCCACCATGACACATTGTTTGTAGACGTGTATCACAAGGAAAAAACTTAATTCATTCATAAATTCTATGAATCATTTCATATTCAAGTCATCCCTCAAGAGAGAACAGCTCCACTAACTATATGCAGGATAAATATAACTTCCTACAAAAAAAGAAAAAAAAAGGCATCAACAGCCCTGGCATGCAGGAATTTGAAAGTGACAGTTTTCATCTGGAAGATTAATTTGAATGCAGAGAAATTACCAGGGGAAAATACAGGAGGTCTTTGCTGCTGAGAAGCACAAGTACAGAGGTTTCTATTACAGCCACAGCTCCTTCTAAAAATAGTACCTCTTTGTGTCTCACTCCTGTTTTAATTTAGCTTTTTTATTATGTCAAATTACCAAAGCTGCAAGAAAATTATGGCAGGATTGCTAGCAGAACAAAATTCAAATCCAGTGGCACCTTTAAGACCAACAAAGTTTTATTCAAGGTATGAGCTTTCGTGTGTATGCACACTTCTTCAGATGCATTGAAGTGGAAGTTATCAGTCCACACATATAGGTAGAGGGTGAGCAGCAAATTAGCATAGAGCATAAGGAAGATGTTTAACAGATGCAAGGACCAAACAGGAATAAAAAAGCTTAGTTTACATGGTCACAGTTTCTTGGATTTAATTCCAGGGGGAAACATAGTGAACCAATATTTATATATATCAAAATTGGAGATTGATGTGTAAATGCACTCTTCTTAATTGTAGGATGTTGAGAGTAATTAACTGAAACCTTGCTGTTACGCTCCATCCATCTCCTCTCAAGCATGAATGTAAGTAACAGCATTCTTTTTTTTTTAAGTGGGGTGATTGGATGTCCAGTGTTATGGCTCCTCTGTCGCCAGACCAGAGAAATACATTCCAATCTACCATTCCAAATAACATTACATTCTACTATTGATTGCATTACATTACAATCACTATTCCAAAATACTATTCCAAATAAGAAATACAATAAAATAAAGAGGATATATGACCTTTCTTGGTGAGAATACAGATATAAGGACTGAATGAGATTAGCATAAGTAGTGAGATAAGAAACTAATATCCCTGTTCAGTCCTGGGGTTTTTTGTTCCGAGTGTTGTAATAACTTGTAATTCAGCAATTTCCCTTTCCAATCTGTTCCTGAAGTTCCTTTGCAATAAAACAGCTACTTTGAGGTCACCCACTGAATGTCCTAGAAGGCTGAAATGGTCCAGGTTTCTCAGTCTTGTGATTCGTAATGTCAGATTTTTGTCCATGTATCCTTTGGTGTAGGGTTTGACCTGTTTACCCTATGTAGAGAATTGAAGGGCATTGTTGGCATTTAATGGCATATACAATGTTAGAAGATGAGCAAGTGAATGAGCCTGAGATGGCATAGTTGATGTTGTTGTAGCAGCAAAGTTGGCCACTGGGTTTATTGCAAGCTCTGGTACTAGTGTCTCCCAGGTGCTTGAGAGAGAGAACTGTCATTATTCAGTAAAGGTTGTAAGTAATTGATGATGCATTGAACTGTTTTGAGTTGTGAGCTGTATGTGACTACTAGTGGTGTTCTGTTATTGTTTCTTTTGGGCCTGTCTTCTAAAAGGCTTTCTCTGGGCATCATTCTGGCTTTGTTAATTTGTTTCTCGACCATCAGGTGGAGGTTTTTGTTCAAAATGGTTTGTTGTAGATTCCTCAGGTGAAAATCTCTGTCTGTAGGACTGGAACAGATGCAGTTGTAGCGTAGAGCCTGACTGTAGACAATAGGTTGTTTTGTCTTAAAGGTGCCACTGGACTTTAAATTTATTCTACTGCTTCAGACTAAACATGGCTGACCACCTGGAACTATCTCCATGGAAGGCACCACATTCAGCCTCACAGAATGGAACTCCATCAACTTGACTGTCCAGTGTATTTGACAAAGTGTGCATTCACACGAATGCTCATACCTTGAATAAACTTTTGTTGGTCTTAAAGGTGCCACTGGACTTTAAATTTGATTGTTTGGTATGTTTAGGATGATAGCTGGATGCATGTAGATATGTTTGGCCATCAGTGGGTTTCCAGTATAAAGTGCTGTCTGTGCGTCCATCATGTATTTGTACAGAGGTGTCTAGAAAATGTATTACTTGCATAAATTGGTCCATTGTCAGGTTGATGGTGAAGTGCAAGTCATTGAATGCCTGGTTTGTGTCTTTTCGGTAGAAGGTAAAAGATACCTGGTCGAGGTTCCTGTGGTGTGTCTGAAAGGATTTTTTCCTGTACGTGTAGTGGTAATTCCTTCATGATCTTGTTTAGTTCTTTTTTGTATTCCTGTGTGGGATCTGAGGATAGTTGTTTGTAAAAAGCAGCATTTGTAAGTTATCTTTGAGGCTCCTTGATGTAGTTCGATCTATCCATGATGACAATGGCTCTGCCTTTGTCTGCTTCTTTAATTATAATATTTGGATTGTTCCTGAGACTGTCTATGGCCTTCCTTTCAACATGGTTGAGATTCTGTTGTATGCAATGGTGTTTGTTGATCACATTGGTTTGGGCTCTATGGCGGAAACATTCAATGTAGAGATCCAGTGTGGCATTGTGACCATCAGGAGGGGACCGTGTGTAGTCTCTCTCTTTTTTTTTAGAGTTGTTTTGATGGTAGTTGGTGGTTAGTATCTTGTTCATTGGTGGGTTGGAGAGATGGTAGTTGTTCTCCAGTAGATAGTGTGATGGTATGTTGTGAAGATGTTGTCTGTTCTTTCTAGTGGTTGACGAGAACAAACTGAAGGAGAATCCAGATAAGGTAAAGACAGTGCTGGCTGGAAGGGCTGCTGTTTTAAATAGGATTATGCTTTCTACCATTGATGGTGTGCATCTTTCTTTGGAAGACTGTGTTAAGAGCTTGGGAGTCTTGCTAGGTCATGGTCTTGTTGGAGAAACAGACATCCATGACAACAACAAAAAGTGCTTTCTTCCACCTATATCTAGTTAAGGAGCTGGCTCCTTGTTTGAAGATATTTGATTTAATCATGCTGATCCATGGTTCAGTAACCTCCAGGCTGGACTACTGTAACAAGCCCTACATAGGGCTACCCTCAAAGACAATCCAGAAACTGAAACTGCTGTAAAATGTGGCAGCCTGTTTGTTATCTGGAGCTAGCAATTAGTTCTGGCTTTCAAGGTAGTGATATATTTAACAGAGTTATTCTGTTGCTTATTTTACTCTCTGCACTGAGCTGGGTTTACACCTTATTGAATCAAGGGTGTGATCGATTGTTATTAAGTTTTGGCTTCATCTCCATTTTAGCCCCCTTCCTAAGTCTTATTGCTCTCCTCCCTGCAGACCCTTACACCTCGAACTGGACTCAATTCAAAGTATCTAAAATCAAATCAATTGGTATTGATCTGGATTCTTTGGCCAATTCTGGTGAAATGGATATTCTTCGGATTGTGCGAAGGAGGATTTGGGACACTGAAGCTCACTGAAGTAATTAATACTGGTAGCTCTGGAGTCTGTTCTCCATGTTTTCTTGGTCTTTTCCCCGCACAAGACTCTATGGCCCACTATTTTTCTAATTTGGTAAATCCCTCACACCGTAGAGCTTTTATGCCTGCCAGGTTCAATTTCTTCCCTTTGGCTGTTTTGACAGGCAGATGTAAGGGTATTCCTTATAAAGAAAGAGTCTGTACCTGTCTTTTCAATGAACCTGAATCTGTGCAACATATTCTTTTTCGCTGTTCTCATTACTCTTTGCTACGTCATTCCTTGATTTCCCATCTGTTCTAAGTATTTTATGGACATCTTCCAGGGAATTCCACTCAAATTATGGATGAAATTACTGTTAGGAATAGATAGATTCATCAATTCAGATTTTTTGATATTTATTTTGTTGCCTAATAACCTTGTGAATGTTTTTAAAACCTCAATGTTGCATCCTTGGAATCAATTAGTGCTAATGCTGTATCATCAGGATGAATCCTAATTTTATATATCAACTGATCTAATATCAACATAATGTATACCTGGATTTAGGGTGCAATCAGAAGTGGTGCTAAGTAACAACCTTGGCTGATCTCCCTATTTTAACAAAATGATCTCCAGATCTCCATCTTAATAAAAACTTGAGCTGTGAGCTTTGAGTGTATTAACAAAACCCATTATTTAAATCTGTCGAAGTTATAATGATCAAGAACTTACAATAAAAGGATACTTGGTTACTGTATACCTGTCAGGTTCAACAGCAAGTTCCTAACAATGACAATGGGGCAGGTGCATCAGTACATATAACATGATGCTGCAAGTGGCTAAGCAAATGAAATCCAAGCAAGCGCGCGGGAATACTCCCGGCGGGAGATTACATAATGAACGGGAGAGTCTCCGTGCCTCACGAGAGCAGAAATATTCACACCAACAGTGGAACGCAAGCCCTCCCTCCTCCTCAAATTTAGTCAGATAACCCAGTCTGGCAGCACCAGTTCGCACGGTCTCATGAGCACCTCCCTATCACTGTTTACAGCAAGCGAGCAGAGCAAGCGAGCAAGCATGCGCAGTCGCGCCACAGGCATGAAAAGGACAAATACGAATGAAACATGGCAGCTAGCTGACAATACCTTTGCATCAAGCCATTACAAATGTCCCCAACTGAACCTGGCTAATTGCAGCCAGATGATAAAGAACAGCTTTGGTTACATGCAGCCACATGGGAGAGTGATTTCTTACCTTCACTGCAAACTCTGCTTCTGTGGCTTTGTGTATACATCTCTTGCATACTGAGTAAGAGCCAATGCCTATGTCCTCCTTGATCTCATATCCATCTGTAAAGTGAATATTGTTCCCATGTAACTGCTGCAGAGGAAAACAAAATAATAGCAATAAGAAGGTAGAACTTCTGATGACACCCATTAGAAGATTCTGTGGGATTGACAATTAAATGGCAACTCTTCATTTTATTAATTACATTCTTCTAGTCAAATTTAGGCTACAATCTTAGCCAAAAAATCCAGGATATGAATCTAGCTCTTCTACTGCAGACCAACGATCTTAGACATTGTTATCTGAGATTAAGCTCTGCTGAAGTCAGTGATGTTTTAAAAATAAATATCTCTGCTGCTATCAGCATTCTCCTGCTGTGTCTGTATGGAGAAAGCTGTTTTTAAAACATCAGTGCTTATGCCTTCTCTGTATTTAATGAACAAAAAGGCATGGAAGATTCTTAGCCTCTGATACTGCTACCTCAGTTTCTGTAAATTGGAGACTCAAATTATATACCACATTGTGGCCTTTTACTGAAAGGTGGTTAATTCCAAATATCAGAAGATGTCCATGATTCTGTGGTATAGTGATTTCCCATGAATCCATACAGTTCTTAAGCAGGAGGTTAGCTCTGCAAAAGTGGTATGTGTGTTTGCACATGCATGTGTGTTTTATGGGGGCAAAGGGGTTCTACAAAGAGGACACATTACAGTATTAAACTAGAAACATGGGTGGTTGCTGCAGTGGTAGTGGTCTGTCCAGGGTGCAGGCAATAGGGGGGTACATTGTCTATATAGAATTTTAAAGACTCTCTCTGCCGACTTGAGGTTCTGCCCATCTTCAGGGCCTCTCCAGGGATGCACGTGCTTTAATTGTACCCAGTGAGGAACTGCGGCAGAAGCCAGCTCTGCACCCCCACTGGGCAGCCAATGCAGCTAGATGCTCCCCAGGTCAATGATTCCAGCCACCAGCCTGGCCTCCTGGTTGCTTCCCGCAATGCCCTAGTGGTGGGACTTCCTTCCACAGAGCTCAGGCTGGGCAGAGGGTGGGGGTAACCTGGCTTCACTCCCTTCCAAGCTCACTCCAACGCCTGCTGCTACTGCAGCAGATCAGCAAAGGGGGAGGACTCTTATGACACAGGTGACCAATCACCAGCCAGCAGCCCCAGCTCTGCCCACCCATCCCTGGCAGTGGCTATGCCCAAAGCCAGGTAGACAGAAGGATGCAACACATGCACTAATCTGCCACACTGACAAGGGAATGTGTGAGGGGGAGAGACTCTTCTCATTTGTCCCAGGTGGTGTGGGTGGTGAAAGGACTCCAAATGCCCCCCATACATCCCAGCATCCTCTGAGGCTGCCGCGCTGATTTCTTGCAACATCAGAAGGCTGGGTAGGGCTGAGGTGTGGCTACAAGACCTCATATGAATACTCTTCAGCCGGGTGGGGAGATGGTGATGATTGAACCAGGCACATCCACCCCTCTGACTCACAAACTGGGATCCCCAGATGAGCTGCGGGCAAAGCCCCACCCCCAGTTGTGAGAGAGCAGCCCTGAAAGCTGGGAACATTTTCCTGGGAGTAAGTCCCATTGACAAGACCCATGTAGGATTTGGAGTATACTGGTTTAGGATTGCTCTGCAAATGTTGCTTGCCCACTCAGCCTAGGATAGATCTTTCAGCAGACTATGGGAGAACAGAGAAGGAGAGAGGAGAATGTGGTAGGGGGATGTTAAAAAAAAAACGATCCGCTCCAGGTGTCAAATATGCTAGGTATGCCACTGATTTCCTGTGTGGATGTGCTTTCAGTAGTTTAGTACACTGTGATACCATTTGCAATGTGCTGTTTTATATGTAATCATTTGCAAGCTTCCTTGACTGCCATACAGTGGAAAAGAAGTCTAAAAATTCTCAAAGAGTAACATATAATTTAGAAAATAAAGATGGAAGTATGATTATCTCTTACATTTGGATGCTACACATTATTTCAGAATAATTACTTAGTTACTGTCTTACATCTTGTATTACGGTTGACAGGCAGTACCTAGCAACCAGCAGGAGAGATTGGGGGGGGGGGCACAACATCACAGGAGAAAGTTCTTTTTAAAAATGCAGCCTCGTGTACTTCCCAGAAATGAAAAAGGATAGCTCTAGGAATCACTGCCATGGAGTTTCCAGTGATTCCTAGAGCGACTTATTGTCACTTCCAATAAAAACTTGTGGTAAGTACTCGGGGCTACATTTTATTTTTTTAAAATCTACCACTGCAACAGGACCTGGGGGCAGGGAATTCCCCACCCCCACCAACTTCACATGTGGAGCAGATCAACCAGAGAATAAAAATAAAGAAATGGGCCCCATTGATATTACAAGAAATTAGTTTTATAATCCACTAGGAAAAAGGCCCGTTGTGGAAATAAATATAACGGCCTCTAGAAAGAGGCTCTGGGCGAGTGCCCCGGCCTTGGACACTCAGTGTCAATTTGCTGTGGCAATCTCAGCAGGGTATAATGACACTGAGCCCACCATTTTCTCCAGAGGAACTGATCTCTGCTACCTAAAGAACAGTTCTAATTTTGAGTGAGCTCCAGCCCTCACCTGGAGATTGGCAACTATGGTTCCCCAGAAGGGAATGGTTGGTTTGGAGGGTGGAATCTATGGCTTTGTACCTGTCCGAGGTCCCACGCCTCCTGAAACCTCACCCGCTCCAGGCTCCATCCCTCACATCTTCAGGAATTTCCCACCTGGAGTTGACAACCCTATCTCCTTCCCAGCCAATCATTAACCTACCTTTATTTCCCCCTCACTCTTCAGCTTTCCACCCCCCACACACCTGCACACCTCTCCCGTGCTCTGAAGCCCTGACTGCTACGTCACATTGGCTGTCATACGGGGCCCACCTCAGCAGCATATAAGGATACAGAGCCCACCTAGAGGCAAAAGCCAATCAAGTTGCATATGCAAACGACCTCTGTGTTCCGAGGCAAAGGCCAATGAGGCTGCATATGCAAATAACCTCTGTGTTCTGACTGGCTATGGGGGGGAGGGGAACAGCAAACTGTTTAGAATGTTGGAGGCAAGTCTCAAGCAATGCAGCCAGTGGATAGGGACAGATTCTGAATGTCACACCAGGGCGTCAACCAATTCCGGAGCGTGTGGAATGTTCCAGAGAAGTGCCACCACCATTCAGCTTTTATATATAAGGGAGATTCGCAAGAATGCCATCTTTTGAGCATCAAATGCACTTCAGTAGTTGATGTCCCATCTTATTATGATCTTTTGAGCCAGATCATAGATTTATGTAAATTAGGGCTGCCAAATGCAGCCGGGGGGCGGGGAATCCCCCGTTTCGGAGCCCCGATACCCGGCGCGCCGGAATCGGGGCCTGGGGGAAACCCCACCCCCGCGTGCGCGTCACCCGGAAGTGACGTCGCACGCTGGGGGCGGAGCCACGCCATTTGAGGGGAAAACTCTTTGTTTTCCCCTCAAACGGCGTGGCCCCGCCCAGCGTGTGACGTCACTTCTGCGCGTCCCCCACCAGCTCCCGGACCGGCCAGAGGATACCCCGCCGGTAAGTAATTTAAATTTGGCAACCCTAATGTAAATCTGTATAACAGCTACATTGCTTTAACTAACTAAAAAAAAAAGGAAGAATGACTGATTTGATTATGAATGCCAGATTGTGCTGAGAAAAGTGAGAGCTTATCATAAGGAATTTAGATTCAAGAGATCAGAATATACCTTAATCAGACTTAAGATGGTTAAGGAGAGCTGGAAACAACTAGTAATCAATAAGAAAAGGGCAACTTTGATGAAAAAATGGAGGGCTCTAATATCCGCTACTCATGATGGGAACAATAGACAGTTCTGGCATATTGTGAACAATAATGTCAAAAATATTTATTTTATTCCCTTTGGCATCTCTCTGGATATATGGTTTACTTCAGAGACATAGCCAGATATATAGAAGAGGAAAATTTGGTTGAGATTGGGGAACTGGAATACTGGCCATCAGTGTCAGTCGAGACCACTGAATCTCTCCTTATATATAATTGAATAGTGGGTGCCAAAGTTCTAAAATGCACTCCTTTAGTGTATGGACGCTTGAACTGTCAGTCAGAAGACGCTGGCTGGGTTGACTGGCTGCTTTGTGCAGTCCCGCCCAGCGTTTCAAGGTCTTTTGCTTATGGAAGCTGATTGGACTTCACTGCATTCCACACCTCAAACTCACCCCCCTCCCCGCAAGGCAGTTGGGATGTCAGTTGCATATGGAACCTTCAAGGTCTTTTGCATATGGAAGCTGATTGGACTTCACTGCATTCCACACCTCAAACTCACCCCCCTCCCCGCAAGGCAGTTGGAATGTCAGTTGCATATGGAACCTTCAAGGTCTTTTGCATATGGAAGCTGATTGGACTTCACTCCATTCCACACCTCATACTCCCCCCCCCGCAAGGCAGTTGGAATGTCTGGTGGTGTGTAGGTCCCAGGATCATGTTTTAAAAGCTGTCTGGGGGATTATGGACCATTCACACACTTTCAACCTTAACATACCTCATAGGGGGAGAGGAGAATGATGACAGCTGCTTTGGTTCCCACTGCAGGGAAAGACTGCCCTTTCTCTAGGCAGAGGCTGGGGGGGGGGACATAGGGTTGCCAACTCCAGGTTGGAAAATTCCAGGATAGTTTAGGGATGAAGCCTGCTGAGGGTGGGGTCTGAGGAGGAGGAGGAGGAAGAGGGGGACCTCAGACAGATAAAATGCCATACTCCCCACCCTCCAAACAAGCTGTTGCCAGTCTCCAGGTGACAGCTGGAGAGCTCTACCAGAGCCTCTGGCATTTTCTCACTCTGCTGACATCAAAACCAATTTAAGGCAAAATAAGAGGCTACTGAGAGGGGAGGAAATAAAGTTGCCAGCTTTAGGTATGGAAATTCCTGGAGATTTGAGGAGTGGAGGCC